ATGCTACATTGACAGCTACAGGAAGCTGTCAAAACTCCCTTGAAATCCTGAGCAGCAGACCTAGGATAAAGTCATAGAATCATAAAGTCTTAAAAGTTGGAAAAAACCTCTAAGTTCATCAAGTCCAACCATCAACCCATGTCCACTAGACCATGTCCTGAAGTGCCACATCTAGACATTTTTTGGAGACCTCTGGAGTGCCCATGCCATTATTTCTAAAGTACAGCCATTACACAACATAGGTCTAGAATTAATCTTATTCACATTTCTCTTTTTTATGGCAGAGCAAACATATCTTAAAGACCTTCCTTTTCTTTGGATCTGCCTTGAAAATATATAATTTTCATAATTTTAAAACTCCTGCCAATAACAGACTATGGAACTGAGAGAAAAATGGTTAAGAGGATTAGGGCATTAGTCAAAAAGCATTAACAAATCAAGCCAAATTGGGGAAGTCAGTTGCTTCCAGGCAAAAGAAATTAAGAAGCTACTTTTGTTTGAAAAGAAATGTCATGCTCCTGATTAAAGTTTTTATAAAAGAAATCATAGCTTTCCTGAATTATTATTTCTGTTTACAACCCATCATCTTACACTTGTTAAAAAGGGACAGTTACTACAACACTAAACCCTCTGAAATATTCTCAAACCCACATCAAATACAGTAAAAAAACTTGCTAGAACATTAACTCTTTAAGGTAGCAAGCAAGGACAGCTGATGTCTTGCTGCTACAAATGATTCACTTTTCTTCTTGAGTTAGACATTAATATAATTTAAATGAAATGCATAATAAAGGCCTGTTGGGTACTTATTAAGAATCACATTAATTCAGAAAGTAATGGGGGAAGTATCCTTTTCTCCTGAAAGTCATCTGTATACTTAATTAGAATAAGTTGAAAAAAGACTTTATTTTCTCCAAAGCTTCCCCCAAGATTTGAGTCATTTAATACACAGGTATTAAAAGGTAAATACACAAGGAAAAGGTAAATTATCCAGAGTGGGTATGTCTGGTAAGGACAGCAACAATGTTAAGGGCAAGTGTGGGTGTAAGATAATAAATGTAAAATTCAGAAATATGTATAATTTCTGAATTTGGGGGGTTTCATACAGTTGTTTCCAAGTAGAAAACTAGGAAAAAGTAATATTTAGATTTTTTAAACCTTGCCACATATCCCACACCTTTTGCTTCTTTCTCTCTTTAGATTTTTTTATGAGATTCTGTCTCCATTAATCTCATTTTATCTGTTTAATGTGGTCTGAACATGACCCTCAACATCTGAGCCAGTAGATAATATTACTGGGTGTCTAGGGTCATGCAACGGATACTTGTGGTTATTCTTTCTTTTTCTCTTCTCTCTTCTCTCTTCTCTCTTCTCTCTTCTCTCTTCTCTCTTCTCTCTTCTCTCTTCTCTCTTCTCTCTTCTCTCTTCTCTCTTCTCTCTTCTCTCTTCTCTGTCTCCTCTTCTCTCTTCTCTCTTCTCTCTTCTCTCTTCTCTCTTCTCTCTTCTCTCTTCTCTCTTCTCTCTTCTCTCTCATTGCTTTTGTCTTTATTGACTTTTCCATCCTGTTCTTCAAGATCAGCCGCAAAGACTTGGCAAAAGACTGAGTTTAACTTGGCTAAGGCAGTGCAATTCTTCGTTTCACACTTTGCATGCTACAAATCCTAGATTTTTCTGGACCAGTCACTTGCTTAGCCAGAGGACGCCTCTGTCTGCTCTACCATAATATTTTCAGAAAGTTTTTAAACATTGCCAGGGAATGAATGTGCATCATGCCATCTGAATTCTCTAGAGATGTATCCGCATACAATTTTCCTGTCTTCTTTTGCACCTGTTTCCCAGTACATCTCTATGAGGGAGTCACCTCTCCAGCAGACAGGAGATACAGCCAAAACAGCCCTTGGCAGTCTCAGATAATTACACTTCTGGTAATGAAACAATGCCTTGGATAATGGTTCATTTTCAGAAAATTGTTATAATGTTTATGACCCATACTAGAATCTGTTTGAGGCAGATATTTATAAACATTATAGCTAGCCTGCTAAGATGTTCATGGCAGAATTTGTATTCATATTATTTAGCATTGGTATTTAGTCTGATGCTTGAGTAAGGGTGGGACAGGTGGGGAAAAAGAAGCCAGCTTTCTTGGAGCAGTGTTACAAACCACAAGTGCTCCAGTTAAAACTGAGGATTAGGAAGAGGTCAGAAATTGTGAAATAGCTAACTGATGAGATGAGGGAAGGACACAGAAGAGTCAGGTGATGGTACTGTTGTTAGTAACCTGTTCTGGCAACAACTGGGGAAATAAGCTGAAGAAATAAGGATAAGAATTTTTCTTTTAATAAGTGCAATTTTGTTTCTGTGTGAATTAAATTTGCTACTTTAATCCAAAGCATTCTGTCAAGGATCTCTTATATGTCAAAAGGCAGATAATAAATTTCTAAATGTCACCTGTATTTGTCATCAACATTTTCAGAGTCCTGTGGTCAGACTTCCCTGTTGTCAGTTCTTTTCAAGTAAATAACCTAAATTCTTCTGTATAGAATCACCAAAACTGCAGTTTCCTGCCTTTTGGGGTTAAAAAATTTGGGAAAGCAAT